AACCAAAACAAACCACCAAATCAACAATCAATCAAAAAGACTACTAGCCAAACGAAACAAAGCAAAAAAAAAAAACAAAACCAACAAAACAAAAGTTTAGGCTACTGGAAATTGTCTGCTTTTTTGACCACCTCCTTTTTTCCAGTTTTAATTGTTACCCTTCTGCTGTCTTACACTTTTTCCACTTGCTTTTGGTTGTATGGCATGTAACTTGTTGAAATCCTGACCTGTGAAAATAACTACTAGGTCTTATGTTCATAGAAATAGTACATGCTAGTCTTGATGCAGTTGATCACTTTGATCTGCTTTGAACACAGCATAGTGTGGATGTATGCAGGAGAGGTAGTAATTTCTTAGATACTAAAAGATATGTCATAAATTTTACAAGCTCCTTGATGGGCAGGGGGTTAAGACTGCCTTTATGTTTCTTTATCCTCTTTACTCTGACACTCCCTGTTTGTGAGTCAAAAAGTGCTGTCAAATCTTGGCTGCCTCACAGCTTCACAGTGGGAAGAAAATATTTAATGAAGTCAATGGGAAAGAAGTTGTATTAGTATAAAGTCAAGTATTTTAACCATTTCAGAAGTTACTAGGTAAAGTGCTGCATAGAATACAAGCATCATATATTACCTGTGTACTATTTTCATTTCATGAAAAAAGAATTCCAGTTATTCTGCTCTGAGTCCATTCAATTTGAAGTGCAGCTTCTGCTGCTCCATATCTATAACTTCAAACCTGCCTCTAGTCTATGCTAAAGCTGACTCTTAATATTGTGGTCAAATATTCCTTAGCTGTTCTTGCAAAGACCATCTTTATTTCCGCTAGTTGTGCAAGCACAATTATCTGGCCTGTTTGTTAAGTTAGGGATCTGTTGTTTAGCTATAGCAACTAAAAGAAAAAAGAACAAACACAACATTAATAATCATATCTAGCTAGAAATGAAAGAATTAAAATAAAACAAGAAGCATTTATATTTTTCTAGAATCCTTCAATGATTTCAAATGGAGGGTGGCTTTTTATTGTTTCAAGTATCAGATTTACCACACTGTTTTTGCTGGGAACTGTTTAGGTTTTATCCTTACGTTTTCCTTTGCTTTCAAAGGTTTTATATCATCAGCTAGTGTGTATCCCAAGGAGGCCTTCAGATATCTAAAATGCAAGCTAGGCATCTAAATTAAAAAGTGCCATGTTGATATTAATCTTCGTTCATCTGTTATTGTAACCTAACCCTGAGCTGCTGCAGTTTATGAACTTTCACATTTCCTAGACACTATAAATCTCTTGCTGGTTGCATGGTTTGAATCATCCCATTCTTTTTTGACTGAGCAATCTGGTCTATATCCATCTTAGTCTCTTTGGTGTCCCAGCCTGTTAGGAATTCCCGGATCATGTCTCACTTGGCAACAAAAACGAGCACCCTCCAAAATGCAGTGGCATTTGCAGAAGCATCATGCTTCTTCCATGAAAATAAGGTATAGTCACAAGCACTGTGGAGGGTTTCAGTGTGTGGATCCACATGTCTGCAGGTCACTTGAAGGGGGCAGTGATAGAAGACTAAGAGGGACATCGCTGACAATATGCTGCT